CCATATTCTCTTTAAACGCGTCTTCTTGAACTTTCCTGGATATTCACTGAGTGTTGCTCAAATCCAAGCAAATGTTACAGAGCGATTCCACAAATTCCGTAATAGCTCTCACTTTTCAAGAGACGCAAAGCAGATTTACGAGAAATCATACTACTCGCATGCCTCCCCATCAGTAGTATCACCGTTACACTGATATGCACACTCGAGTTAGACGCTGATTATCGACGTCTGTCTTAAAAAGCAGTATTGTCCCGGCTTTCAAATGGTTGCGCAACACCAGAACGGGGAGCTTGTCAATCTGCGGACGATGCGACACTTGAGTTTCTGTAGTCTAACAACTAAAGCTACGGTACGTCAATCAAGAATATGAATAACATGAATCACCTACCATCAGTAACCCGAAAAATATTTTTAGTTGACTGTATGTAGGAGTAATTTGTTAGCCCGTTAAAAGTTTGTAGGGCTCAAAACAAATGTTAGGAACGCGTGAAGCGGACAAAATACATTTTGATCCACTTTGATTTTCGGGGATTCAGAGCAGGCATGTTGACCTATTCCACCGTTCTGTTTATTCACTGACTATCACATTCTAATTGATATTTCCACAAGTGAAAGCCTCTGCGAAAGTCGTCACACTTTTTTACGAGACGCCGATCACATGGAAGAGTAGCTGGACCAATAACATTGCCCACTTTCTCCAAACGAACATCACTTCTCCCAATCATTTATGTCCCAAAAGATCATAGTCAATATGTCGTTTCGTACTACAGTAAGAAAGCTGGGTGAATCTACTGGTACGCTCCTCTTAAATCGGGTATTTGTAACATTTACTGCTTAGTTGCCATTCCACCTGAGGGACGCACAACGGATAAGATGCTGACATGTTCCGCAAGCCAAGACAGGATAGGTGGGGTTCATGAGATTGGGTTCAAACCGCAGTCTTTCATGTCAATAGGTTTGTGCCCTACACATAGCTGTCCAGAGCTCAGGTTCCCTGTTGACCCTGGCATTGTTGCCCTTGTGTCAATCTTCGTTCTTTCCTATCCTTCTTCCTGAACCACTTGTCAGCTCGTAGTTCTGAACGAATTTATAAATTATAATTCGACCTCTTAAAACCTCTTGCTCCGTCCACCTAACATTCGTGTCCAATATTAGTCGAATCTCTCGAGCTTTTCGGTTCAAATGAATATTGTTCAAAGGTTACTTGATAACTATCTGTTTATCTGTCGTGACCGGATAGGTATACTGTACGGGGACCAACCGCTCT